TTAACCAATAACATCCAGTTACCAATTTAGATTTAGCATATCCCATACCATCCAGATAACCATCATTGTTCCATAATAATTACTACGATCCTGTAGCTCGAGTCAAGTGCTCACTATCCAGGAGCGATGGCGATTCGAATCGATTATTAACCAGCTGGTAATTTATTCCTTATACAAACCTCACTCACCCGCTAAAGTGAGGTATCGGTCACTGAGTCAACTATTCAGGAAAAATCTCGAGTTTGCCAGGAACCACATGTACCCGGGGGTCGACCGACTGCCTTTCAGTCTTATCATCGTGCCCTCGTGTCCTACCACGCCTACTCCGGTATAGTGCGCTGCGGGCAATCCACTCGGCCCGAATAATCTCCCAGCTTCGCGGTCGAAAGGTACGTTATTCGGCCAGCTAAATGTAAGGCATGCGTTCAACATGACCCGAGGCCCAACAACGGTCGGTCCTTAATCGACACAGACGGAAACTAATAGCACCCCAGAACCCTGTCTGGTTGCCTCCAACTTTTTCCGTCCGGTCTCCAATTATCCATCACACATGGTTAATTCCAGGATATCATTCTTTCCATAACTAAATTCTTCTAGTAACCACCTATAATGTAGGTGACCGGATATCACCAATCGCTACCGGTCTAAGCAAGGCTAAGTAGTTATTCGATCCTGACCTAACAGGGTAAAAGGTAATAAGGTAGGCAAGGATAGTAATAAATGCGTTAACGGTTTCAATCAACTCCTACAACTTAATGCAACAATATATAAACTCATATATATAGAAAGAATTGCTTTTATAAATTAGGAGACTTATAATGCTCCGGGGCTTTCCTGGGATCCGACACAAGTCAATTTAGTTAGCTTGCACCGTCCTGGTGACGTCTCAGGTCCTAGCACTCGCTTAGTCCTTCCATCTTCGGAATAGATCCTCCATACACCGTCTTCGGGTTCGGCTCCAACATCACGTTCTTCACGTGGTTCATCTAGCGCACCTAGATGAGATGCAAAATGTATGTGTATGAATGTGATGAATGGTAACACAAGATGCATCACATAAGCATTCAAGACAAACCAGTTATTCACGGCAATCATAGAGTCAAGGCTGCAAACAGCAGCAGCTAATTTTACTCATAACAGGAGTTGTATTAATCCAAAAGACATGCAACAAGACAATCTGGAAAGCTTATTAAATTTTCTATAATTCATCTTTAATCATCTTAGCATGATTCTCAAGTTAACTAAGTCAAATATACCCATTTACAGAAACTGGTCCACAATTGACAGAAAGCAACCATTTCTGAAACCCAACTTTAAACAGGCATAACTCACAAACCACAAGGCTAAATACCACCAAATTTTAATAAAATCTAGATATATGAATTATCTACAACTTTGTTATTCTCATATTAAGATGATTTTACAGTTAGAAGGGTCAACTAATCCAATAATTGCATCTCTGTTCAAAACATAGATAGAAACTAACATGCCACTTTAAACAGCTATAAATGGAGTTATACATGTAGTATAAATGTGATTCTAGACTTTTTAGAAAGCTTAGAAAATTCTAAAAAACTTTGTTGTAAACACCTAAAGCTAATTATACTATTAAGAAGGCCCCACAGTAAGAACAAGGAAACCCTGTCTGGGTTTGGGCAGAAACAGCCACAGAGATTTAAACAAGTATAACTCAAGATCTACTTAACCAAAAATCATGATATTTAACTTTTTGAAAATCTTAAGAAAAGTACTACAACTCATGTATTTTCATCAAGTCATGATTCATAACTTAACTGAGCCAATTAATTCAAACATGCAGAACTATTCAGAGTAGGAGCAAAGCAATATGGGGCATTTGTTATTTTTATAACTCTTAAAATATAAATCCTAAACTCCTAAAATTTTTACCAGACAACAACAAGCACCTGATGAGCACTCCATAAAAATTTCATATTTATTTGAGCAAAAGAACTACAGTTATGAAAAAGACAAGACACAACTAGTATTACAAACTTAACTGCACAAATTGATTTTTACACTAAAAACTTTAAACTAAATCATGCCATATTATAGATCTAGTGCATAGAGAATTTCACAAGGATTCTAAAAAGTACTCATTTACTATTTTATGACATTTCTACTAATTACTATGAATTTCCAAAGTTCCAGCCGATTTAAAACAAATATATCCAAAAGGCACTATTCATATGAGTCACAACTTTGCAGAAAGAACCTTCCCTTTTCTTGAATTCAAGCACGAGATCCCTGATCGCGATTTTTTGAAGGGGCTGCGTAGGAGCTCGCCGTTTGCTGGCCCGAGGAGGCTCGCCGGCGGCGGGGGAAGTGGCGGCGGAGCACGAGCTAGGCCGCACGCACTCTCCGGTGGCCTCGGCTTGGCCCGAGGTGGAGCGTGGAGCCCCAGCCACGTGCGCTGGTGGCCTAGGCCGAGCGGCACCGCGGTGAGGGCGCGACGGCGACGAGTGGCTTCAGGCGAGGGGTGCGGGAGTTGCGGCGCGAGGTGAGGGAGGTGGTGCTGCGGTCTATTTGGGCGGAGGGAGTCTGGAGATGAAGGAACAACGGCGGCCATGGAGCTGGCACGACTGGCCATGGTGGCGACGCCTGCACTCTACGCGGCGAGAGTGAGAGAAGGCAGGCAGGAGGCGAATGGAGAGTGGCGAGTGAGCAGAGGAGGCTCGGGCATCCGCATTTGGGGTGCAGGGGGCCAGGCGGCGCGTGGCGATGGAGAGGGCGCGCGGCGTCCATGCAAGAAGGCCACGTCGGCATATCGTCGAACACGTGGTGCGCGTAGAAGTGGGCAGAGCGGGCGTCAGTTCGGGCTGGCTACAGGCTGAATTAGTTACTGGGCCTAAAACAAAGTTTGAAGCCCACGAACTGCTCTTCATTTTTCATTTAGAGACCAAGGTCATTAGAGCTCTTCAACAGCGGGTAATTAAGCCACAAACTGCTAGTGTCAGCGTATTGACAGCGACGAGCAAACGTTCAAATTGATGGTGAAAACGAGGTCAAACTGGCGCCATCTTTTTACATGCCCTTCTCCATGAACTTAGCTCCAACTTCCATTTTGGGGTCAAGTCAAGTTACTTAATGAAATTTGGAGAACGCGAGACGTCAATGCCGATGGCGATGAATTTCTAGACTTTGAATATTTCTAAGTGCTGAAATCAGCAGCAGGTTCCAACTTTGAGCCACCGCTAGACTTAGTTCCGAGCCGATCCATGGTATACTCCAAAAACGAAGTTTCTTCTACATAACATGAGCTTCAACTTTTATTTAATGTCCAACCTAAAAACAGGTGCAGAAGCTATAGTTCTACTTTGACCAAAGTAGGGTCACGATAAAGCTTAAATTATCCTTCGTGATCCATTGAATCATTTTCTTGGCATTTGCTCAATATGAACCTTTCATGACTTTTGTTGTAGAGTTCATCTAGAGTCATTTGGGCATGGTTGTAAGATTTGGTTGACGATCGAGAATTCCATTCACTTTATAAAATAATTCAAGCAAGGACATAACTCGTCATTTCATGTGACCTCTTGATTCCAAACTTCACGAAACTTTTCCATGGATCAATATAGATAGGTATTGATGTGAGACACACGAAAATATTCCAATAACACCAGCCAAGCATATATCTTGAAAATGGCCTATATGTAAAGCAAGGGTGCAATATCCAAGTTTAGGTTGGGGCTCATTTCCATAGGTTTGACCTTGCCATCTTCATCATCACTTAACATGCTATGTTTGAGCTCAAACCCATTGCTTAACTGGTGGCAAACACCTGGGATGTTACAACTACCACCAACCTTCGTCCAAAACAGCTCCCAAGCATTCAAGGCTCTCCTCTCTCCCCTTTGCTCCAAACTTCAATCCCCCAAGGATTTGAGTGATAGGAGAGTGGATTGAGTGAGAAAATCACTTTGGCAAGCTTGAGCACTTGATTTCTTCGTCAACCCGGTTGGATTTGCGTCTATTACTCTTGGGGATGTGCCCCTAGCCGGCTAGACGTCGCCCAAGAGCTTCCATCTTGTGAAAGAACCTTGAGAAATTTGTATTACCCTTGATTTCTCAGTGAAAAGCTCAAATGACCTTTGTGGTTGCTTTGAGAGAGGCAAGGAGGTGAAAGAGACTCCGACTTTTGTGGTCACCTCAACAACGAGGACGTAGGAGCTCCTTTGTGGGGTTGCCGAACCTCGGGATAAATCCTTGTGCCCCGCGTGCTTGTTGTTGTTGTGATTTGCTCGAAATTACTTGTATTTATTTGTCTCTCTATCTCCCAAACTTTATTTTAGGGTTTGGACTCGATCTACGATTTGAAGGCATTTCGGCGTCATGGAAGTGACCCAACATCATCACCAAACCACTAGGAAGTGGGGTTGTAAGATTATTTATCCGCAAAGTTAAATTTGGCACTGCTTTTGTAGTTTACGTAGGTGTCGGGACTTCTGACAGTTTGTGCCGGAACTTCTGACGACGTCGGGGTTCCGATCCAAACCGTCGGGACTTCCGACAGTGGCTAACAAATTTGAACTTAGTATTTACAATAAATTTTTAGATACGTCTATTCACCTCCCTGTAGACATTGTTAGATCCTTTCAACAGGATTATCAAAGCATAAGATTAGAAAAACAAAAATATCGAAATGTCTGTGCAATTAAAATCCTATATAGGAGTCTAGAATACGGGAGAGATGCAAATAAAACGTTTGGATGGTTTCAAAGGAATTAGTAAGATCCAATCAAGTTCCAAAGGCTCTTATATAGGGAAAATAATTCCATGTAGGAAAGTTTTCCAAAATTCCTTCACTTTTCGAGTTCTAAAATGTAGAAAATCTTTTGATCCGAAATAGGGCCTTTAGGAATTTTAACCTTGACCAGGTAAAAATAATCGTGGGGCCAGAGTGCCAGACTCGATAGAGAGCAGAGGTCCTGTCACAGGGGAGGCACCGCCACTTCTCCAGCTCTCCTCGCCGCCGCTCCGTCATGGCTGTCGCTCTCCAAGCCCTCCGCCGCAGCCGCCCCCTCCTCCTCGGGCTCCTCCCCCACCCCTCCCCTCTCTCCACATCCTCCTCACCTCCCGACATCCGCGAGCTCCTCCGCATCGACCGCATCCTAAACTGCCCCTCAGCCGCCGGCGGCGGCGGCGGCGGTGGCCAACCCTCGCAACCCCAGCAACACCCACGCGCCGCCATCGACCTGCACCAGCTCCTCCACCGCGCCGCCGGCCTCACCGCAGCGGAGTCCGCATCCCTCCTCCGCCGCCTCCCCGGCGCCCACGCCCACCCGCACCCCCGCCTGGGCCGCCTCCTCCACGAGCTCGCGGGCCTCCGCCTCCCTGGGGGCGAAGTCAAGGCCGCCCTAGCGTCCGACCCGGAAGGCCTTCTCTCCATGGACCCCGGCGAGCCGTCCCGCCTCCTCGACCTCCTGCGCAACCTCCGGTGCCGGGAGGCGGTGAGGGACCAGATCCTCGCCCACGGCCCGCTCCGAGCTGCCGTCGCCGCCCGGCGGCGGGTGGAGCTCCTGCGCGCGCGCGGGATGACCCGCCACGACGCCCTGCGCGTGCTCGCCGCCGAGCCGCGGGCGATGCTGTATTCGACGCAGGACGTGGAGAGGAAAGTGGAGTACTTGGTGGAAACGATGGGATTCGAGGTCGGGTGGCTAGTGCAGTATCCGGAGTTCCTGGGCGTGAACCTAGAAAGGTGGATCATCCCGCGGCACAATGTGGTGGAGCACTTGAAATCCGTCGGCGGGCTTGGGGACCCTGTGGAGATGAAGCACTATGTTACGCTCACCCGCAGGAGGTTTTACAACATGTTTGTCAAGCCGTACCCGGAGTGTGAGAGGATCTTTGGGGGCCTGGTCAGGGAGAGGTCCGAGACGGCGAGGCGGCGACATCCGACCGGGCTATGGAAACTGTTTAAGCCGGCGAAGCATGAGAGAACTCAGGAGGATGTGCAGAACATGAAGCTTCTTGTGGGATCACTTAAATGAGTAATGTTATGTCCAAGGGAACACTGGTAGTATCAAATAGCAAACGCTGAACCAAAGATGCATTGTGGATCTTTTGGTTATGCTGTACCAATGTCTATTTTCACAGGATACCCCAAACTGGCTCTGATAACAAAGGACTGTTTGAGAATTTCATGTTTGAGGTAACTGGCCAGGGTGCGAAGAGGTGTGGGTGGTATTGTGAAACCATAATTGTTCATGAAGTGCCTGTGTGGTGACAAAAATGGCAGTTGTTACGAATGGACACAGATAATGTTCAATATTCTCAAAAATATCTTTGCAAGGCATTCTACCAGACTGCATGATTAATTCGAGCAATTCTAATATGCTGATCAGCACTTCTTTCACTGGAGAGTAAAGCAGGTAACAAGTTCAGGAAATCTGGCAGCTGATGGAATGATTACCTCAAGATCTTGACAGATGGATAGAGCAGCAGCAGAAGCTCATTGCATATTTTCTTTTTGAGGAATCTATGATGATCAAAACATTTTGCTCAGAAGATGAGCATGCTAATTAATACAGAAATGCTTTCTTGTGTATACATCGTGGCACTGGTTAGTTTACAGACTTTCTCTGCTTTTGATTGTTTAGTGTTATGTAATGTTTAGTGTTATGTAATTACCTTCTTACATTCTTGTTCAACAGGAGTGTAATTCATGACTTATTCATCGGTACATCTTAAAAAATAGTGAATTTATATTTTTTTCTGTATTATAGTTTACTGGGGTTGTTCTTTTATTTAGTTTCTTCCGATGCCTCGCTGGTGAGGTGGATTGTGTTCTGCAAGATGTAACTGTGGAACAATCTGTATGGAACTGGGAGTACCTAGCAAGCATACTTGCATTATTGATAGGTCGTATACCATTGAATTCTACTAGAAAATTTTGGACTTTACCGATTACATATGATTATGCGGAATATGGTAGGAAGAAGGCTGATGGGATCAAGAGAAAATAGTTTAATGGGTTTATAGATTTGGTCTTAGCATTAGTGAGATTTGATAATGATCCATGGGAGCAATTTAGGAGCTTGGAACATTTGCTGAGATGGGGGTGGGGGGCGGGTTCATATTGTTAAAGTTTTAGTTTGATCTTTAGTCCACACCTCCATACCTCTAAATTTGTATGATTACCTTGGATAAAGGTGTTTTACAAAGCTAATGTGCCATCTGAAATTCTTACAAAATCAAACTGAATGTACAAGGACAATAACAGATGAAGGAAGTATGTTATTATGCTTTGAAAGTTTTTGAGGATATTCTCTGGGTATTCATCTTGCAACTATGATCTCCTTATCTATTATTGAGGATGAAGTATTTATAAACATTTCTGTTTTTTTCTTCTTTCTTTGCTGGTGCATTCTGTTCTCTTGTAATTTAATGTAAGAGTTTAAAACTTGTCATCTAGTCCTCCCACTGTGTTCACTCATCCAAAATTCTTCTGTATCAACCTATTCTTTTTCTTTGGAAATGTTATTTTTGTAATAGTCATTTCCAATAAAATAAATATGGGATTTTCAGTGCTTTTGAATAGCAGCAAATGGTGTTGCACATGTCTCACTAATTATGTTAGAAATGATGACATATATCAGTGATAAAGCTTTTGTTATGCTCGGCAAAATTTTAGTTTTCCAGGTAGAAATTAATCTTGCTTTGACTTATCTTTTGACAAGATGGTTACTTAAATACTCCAGTTTAAGATATTTTCAGGCCTTTTCCATTTTTTAATGTCTTGTTGTCGTGGAGATTTTTCTGCACAAGGTTACAGTTAGGATAAGACATAAGTTTGTCTCATATGAATTAAAGAAAACTAGTTGGTACAAGGACTTTTTTAAAACGCAGGAGAGCTATGTTTCATTGTATTTGAGAGATGAGGGGGGTGTCCCCAACAGGATCCTCACTCATACGGGGACTAAATATGAGTGAGGTGTAACACCCTAGGTGTTAAGCACCTAGTTAACAACTTGATCATCAAGCATAATCAACTTGCATTGTGATCATCATGTTATAGTTGCACCAAATAGAATGAATGTATGTTGATTATATTGTGTTTTATATGCTCCATGAAATGTTGTCATTAATATTAATTAAGGTCCTTTGTGATTTTATGGAATAAAAAATTCTTAAATAAATAAAATTTTGCTAAAATAAAGTTTGAAGTACTAAGTTAGTGCTTTGCACTTGTACCTAAGTTAAGTTGAGTTTTTGAATCCAGCATGTTTAAATTTGAACTCAAAAATTGAATATAATGCCGAAGTTCACACTTGGCCATTTTGGTTGTCCCTGAAATGAAGTTATTAAGTTCAAGTCTTGGGTACTTATTAAATGAATTTTCATGAACAAAATTTGTGCAACTCTGTTCCATGATTTGATATGAAGATTGCATTGTGCAACTGTGCTATTGGTTGAGTTGTTTGACAACTAATTAACCATTAATTAATTCACCAAAAATGCTTAATTGAAACTATGTTTCAACATTAAAACTAAGTGCAGTTTTCAGTTTACAAGTATAGGTTTTCAAAATTCAAAATCTCTTAAACTATTTAGAATTCTAGAAGATGGTAGCCAGCAGTAGATGTGTTGTACTCTCATCCTTGGGCAGGATGATACCTTTATGTAATGAATAAAGTTGTGTTAGTCATGCTACCCTACTTCGTTTGAGAAGGCAAAACTTATGGTTTGTAATACTTCCGCTCTTTAACTCTGATGTAATATATTTGTATCATCTGTTGTAATACTACAATGTCTTCTATAATGATCTTGATCGGATGAGAAAATTGGATGATTCGGGATCCCCGAGAACACCCGACAGACTATCGAAGTTGTGTGTCCTGAAAGCATCTAGGCCCTTAGTTGGGTTTCGGTGATTAATGACGACATGAGACTACTGTGACTAACGTGTGTTTTGTAGAGGCAATTTTAATTATGTCATGGTAATGGTAATTGATTGAGCAATTATGGTTTTCATGCCCCTATCGATGGAAATCGTTTTGGTTTTTAAATGATGGACGATAAGGTTTAGGATATACTAGTTCTAAGTGTCATTTGGCGTTGGAGAGACACCTAGAGTAGTTTAGGATTTTGTTTTTTCCTTTGGTTGTACTATTAAGGAGGGTATGGACTAGTAGGTGAGTCTAATGGTTTAGGTGTGGTGCACACTTGTTAAACTTTAAACTAGGTAGCTCAGGGACAGCTCAAAGATCGTCGGAAGTCAATTTCATTCACGAAGGATTTCGAATTGGATGTGATTAGAGGGTCAAATTAATGACTGGATGCTGGTGATGCTCTAACCGGACTCGGTCAGGGTGAGTTTGGTCAGTTGTTGGCGTGCGCTGTAGGGGCATAAGGACGACCGGACGCTGGCTCCTAATCAGGATCGGATGCGCAGGTTTGCACAACTGTAGCAGAGAGCGCGTAGCACTCACGAAGGACCGGACTTGAGAACATTGTGACCTAACGCACCAGAGGCCGCGTTCGGTCAACAACACTAAGCATCCAGAGAGGAAATTTGTGGACCAGACACGTCAGGTCTAGGTGGATCAGACGCTGCAGTGGGCTCGGTCTCTCTAATGGCCTCCTCTGACAGGATGATGCAATTTAGCCGTTGGCTACTGACCGGACACTTTCGGTCACTTTGACCTGAGCATCGAGTCACCCCGAAAATGCTGAGTTGGACCCTAATGGGTATGTTTTGAAGTGGAGAGTATAAATACTTTCACTCGTCCAATTTAGCTCTCTTGCCCATTTATTCAGCTGAGAAACACCTTTGGAGTGCAAGGGAGAGTAAGAGCCTAGTGGGGTGATTGAGACTTGAGAATCCAAGATTAAGGACCTCGTTAGTGCATAGAAAGTAGCAAGTGTGCATCCACCTTTCTCATTAGGCTTGTCTTGGTCAAGTGAGAGTTTGTGCTTGTTACTCTTGGTGATCGCCATCATCTAGATGGCTCGATGGTGATTGGAAGCTTGGTGATCATCCGGTGGAGCTTGTAGATGACCCAAGTCATGGTATGAGCGGTTATGGGCGATTCACTGTGACGGAGTGTCGAAGAATGAGCCCGTAGAGAGCACTTGATCCTTACACGGATCAAGGGGGAGCTACACCCTTCCACGAGTGCTCCAACGAGGACTTTGTGGGGAGTGGCGACTCTCCGATACCTCGGAAAAACATCGCCGCATTCTTCTCCCTCTCTTTACTTTGAGCATTTACTTTTGAGCAATTCAATTCATTTCTTTACATTCTTAGAATTGCCATGCTAGAGTAGGATTGGAACCTAGGGTGCAAAACTTTTGTGCGGTAGAACAATAGAAACAGTTCTAGGCACAAGGAGTGAAATGGGCTAAATGTAGGGCTTAATTATTGAAAGAAATTTAGAATTAGTCCAATTCACCCCCTCTTGGGCATCTTGATCCTTTCAATTGGTATCAGAGCCTCGTGCTCCTTAATTAGGCTTAGCCGCCTAGAATAAGATGTTCCACGGGGATGGACCCCCTCCCATCTTTGAGGAAGATGATTTTCCTTATTGGAAAATTTGCATGGAGGCGTACCTAGAGGCTTTAGATGTTGGAGTGCTTAGAGCCGTCTCACAAGGCTTTCCAAAACCTAAGGATCTCGCCAACCTTTAAGGTGATGAGGTTCGCATGGAGGCATACCTAGAGGCTTTAGATGTTGGAGTGCTTAGAGCCGTCTCACAAGGCTTTCCAAAACCTAAGGATCTCGCCAACCTTTAAGGTGATGAGGTTCACTACGAGAAGTGAAATGCAAAGGCTAGAAACACTCTTTTTAGAGATATTTTGCAATGATGTCTTTAACCATGTGCGGAACCACAAAGACGTCCATTCACTATGGTCGGACATTTGTGCGCTCCATGAGGGAACCAAGAGTGAGCGTGATGAACGCTATCACCTTGTGATGCAGAAGCTTAATTCATTTGAAATGCTTCCTAGTGAAAGTACTGATGAAATGTATTTATGCTTGAATATTCTT